CAGGAGTCCGGGCTCCCAGCCCCCCCGCTCTAACCACCAGCCCCCACTCCCCTCCCAGAGCTGGGGAGAGAACCCAGGAGTCCGGGCTCCCAGCCCCCCCGCTCTAACCACCAGCCCCCACTCCCCTCCCAGAGCTGGGGAAAGAACCCAGGAGTCCTGGCTCCCAGCCCCCCCTGCTCTAACCCACCAGCCCCCACTCCCCTCCCAGAGCTGGGGAAAGAACCCAGGAGTCCTGGCTCCCAGCCCCCCCTGCTCTAACCCACCAGCCCCCACTCCCCTCCCAGGCCCTCCAGCTCCGCTCACCAGCTGCTGCTCCATGTCCGTCACCGTCTCGTTGAGGTTGTAGAAAGCGAAGAGGCTGTTTGGGAGGTTCGGGGGAGTTACTGGGGGGTCGTTCATTGGGGGGCGCCCAGATCGCAGGGAGCTGCAGACCCAGCCCGGGGCCAGCCCCCAATTTCTGGCGCCCTCCCCGGCGCCCCAAATCTTCCCCACTGGGGGTTTCCTTCACTGCAGCTTCTTCCAGCCCCCTGAATCCTGCGTCAGCCCCCAAACTTCATCATATCCCCACGACCCCTCCCCTCCCCCACAACCCTGCCCCTCCCCCATCTGAACCCCCCCCATGACCCTGCCCCCCTCTGCACCCCGCCCCTCCCACCACAGCCCCAGCTCTGAACCCTCCCACCTCCCAGGACAGCCCCCACAGATCCCCAACTTCACACCCCCAACTTCCAGTGCCCTTTTCTATGGCCCCCATAAATCATCCCCGGCCCCGATCTCCGGCCGGCGCATTCACCTGGACTGCCAGGGCGTGATGACCCCGTCGTCCGGACCCCCGACCAGAACCAGCTTCCGGATCCGCAAGAGGTTCCTCTTCCAGGCTGGGGGCACAGGGGACGGGAGTTATGGGGGGCAGGGGGACCCCAGCTGTAAACCCCCCACCCTGCAAGGACCAGCCTAGAGAAACAGGGGGCTGCGGGTCGGGAGCGAGGGGCACCGGCGGAGGAGGGGGCTGCGGGTCGGTAGCGAGGGGCCCCGGCGGAGCGGGGGGGCTGCGGGTCGGGAGCGAGGGGCCCCGGCGGAG